AGACAGGTCCTTCTATGAGTGAGGAATTATGAAGCTCACTGAAAGATGGCAAAAGGTTACCCAACAAAACAGGCAATATATCATTGATTGATCTTTGTTCTTTATATAAATAAATGACCTTTGAAAAACAGAGAAACTACATCATGACTTTTCCAAAGACCCAATAATTATTTAGATTTTTTTTGGCCCAACTCATTTACTAGGCGATTTGAGGAAGAATAAAACAGAGATCTTAATGCCTCATAACCCTGGATGAAGTGAACATAAGGTGGAATAACCTCAGAGGCTGTAGCCAAGGGCCATCCCAGTGTCAGCATCGTGCAGGCCACTATTGAATTTAAGTGAGCCTCACTAACAAAACTGTCAATTCCTCCGTCTCCTGTGTGCACTTGCCCTTTCCATTCATCTCCTTAGATTACCAAAGAAGGAGAATATTGGATCCTATCCCAAGTAAGGAAACAGTAAACCAAAATGTGTGTATTATAAGAGAACTATTTAGACAAAAGTAACAATCATTAAGTCCTCAACAGATTTTCTTTGCCTAATTTTATTCTCAAAGAGACTTGTTCAAGAGAAAAATGTACATTGTCATAGTTTTCTTAACAGGTCATTTTCAAAGCAACCTATAAAAGGAAAATATGCTTTAATTTTGTAATATGGTTGATGTGCCTGACATTGTATTTACATAATTCAAAGAAATACTTTAAATGTCGATTTATACTTTCAGGTGGTTTGGGCTATTATCTCATTGGCTGTTGCATTATCAAACATGTTTTCTCATGAAGAGATCTGTGAAATGAATAGGCTGTTTTCCCTAGACTGTCTCTCCACTGGATTTGTCAGATGTTTCCTCGTGATTGGGCGTATGCTATGCTTTTGAGGGGAGAAAACCACTGAATAATCTTCTCACTTCATCGTATTAGCACATGAGGAGGCTTGTGATGTCCCATTGCTGCTAATTTTAACTTTGCCCTCTTGGTTAGGGTGGTACTGTATTTCCCTGAAAATATGACCTAACTGGAAAATAAGCCTTAGCATGATTTTTCAGGATGCTCGTAATATAAGCCCTACCCCAAACGAACATAAGCCCCAGTTAAGATTGTCAGCTAGACATGACTGTTTGAATAAATGTAGATTTTTGTACATGAATAAATGTAGATTGTTGGAGCAAAAATCAATATAAGACCTGGTCTTATTTTCGGGGAAACACAGTATCTGCCTGGTTTCCACTGTATAGTTAATATTTTTCTCATGTAATCCTTAGTATCTTGACAGGAAATCCTCTGAGTGTACAAATATACACTCAGAGGGTGGGAAAGGGAAAAATTCCCCCTTCCCTCATTCTTTTGGCTGGTTGAATAATCAAATCGACATGAGACAGATTGACGAGAAAATCAAATTTAATTTTATGTGCATGGAACCCCACATACATGTGAGTCAGACCCTGCATACATGAGAGATTCAGAGACAGAACTGGAAAATGAGGTGTATGTAGCACTCTGTGCTAAGGCTGAGGTCAGGCGCCTGGGACTTAAGGGGGAGAAGGGTCATGGCAGGAGGATAAGAAGAGCAGGTGTCCAGTAATTAGTAGTTTGCCCTGCCCTATAAATATGTCAAAAAAGGTTATATCTGATAATTTTATGGGCAAGGCCCCTGATTTAAATTCTGCTTGCATAGTTAAGTGGGGCAGAAGTTTCTCTTGAGCCCACAAGGTCCCAGTTGCCTTTAGCTCAAAATAATCCACATCTCACAGAGGTACATCTTGGGGTGACTTGTGAATGAACACCCACACTAGTCAAACTCTCCTCCACTAGTTATAATATCTATTGATGACACTTCCTTTAATCAGTTATCATCATAATGGTATCCAAAGGGAGATTTTATAATTCCATCATTTCCTTTACACTTATTAATTGGCTTTCTACTCCAGGGGAGTTTTGTCTTCTGTTTCTATGATTCTGGAAGCATGGTTTCTTATTTTCAGGGCACTGTGATCTAATATGATTTATTTTAATGCTGAAATTGCTCCAGACTTGGCCTCTGAGAGCCCCTGCAAGCTGGTTTCTGTCACAACAGGCTTGGAATTGTATCCAAGGTTTGTATTTCAAGTACAGCTACTTCTGCCTGTGTAGCAAAGTATGAGTTCTTGACTAGGTGACTTGGGGGGTTGTGAGGAAGAATTGTGGGGGTCAAAGACATTTTGGAGGATTTTCTTTTTTAAAAATTTTTCCTGCAGGATCTTGTATTTCCTCGTGTTGCTGCCTTCTCCCTTGACACATGGTTTCCACACCTTTCTGTTAACAATCTTCTCCCCTGAAGTATTGCCTTCCTCTTACCTGCATGTACTTAAAAAAAAGTGGTAAAATATAATTTAAAATTTGCCATTTTAACCATTTAAGTGTACAATTCAGTGGCATAGAGTATATTCACTATGTTGTTTAACCATCACCACAATCTATTTCTAGAACTTTTTCAGCATCTCAAGCTGAAACTGTACTCTACGTACTAATTCCCCATCTCCCCCAATTCCCTGGGAACCTCTATTCTACTTTCTGTCTCCATGAATTTGACGTAAGTTGTTCTTACAAGTGGAATCATATAATATTTGTCCGTTTGTTTCTGGCTTATTTAGCATAATCTCAAATTTCATCCATGTTGTAGCACGTATCAGAATTTCCTTCCTTTTTAAGACTGAATAATATTCCATTGTGTATGTAGACCACGTTTTCTTTATCCTTTCATCCATCAATGGACATATGGATTACTTCCACCTTTAGCTATTGTAAATAATGCTGCTGTGAACACTGGCTACAACTATCGGTTTGACTCTGCTTTCAATTACTGTCCCTATAGTTTTGCCTTTTACAAAATGTCATATGCAAGCACACAGTATGTAGTGTGGTTTGTGTTTGAGTCTGGCTTCTTTATCTTAGCATAGTGCCTTTGGATTCACCCATGTTGTTGTATGTAAATATTTTTACCTTTTTTATTGCTGAGTGGCATTCCATTGTATAAATGTACCATAGTTTCTTTATCCATTCTCCATTTAAGGAAAATTTGGGTTATTTCCAGGTTTTGGTGGTTATGAATAAAGCTGCTACAAACATTTGCATACATGTTTTTGTGTGAACCTTAGCTTTCATTTCTCAGGGTAAATACCTAAGTGTGGGATTGTATAGTCATATGAAAAGTGGATATTTGACTTTATAAGACACTGCCAAACTGTTTTCCACAGCACCTGCACAAGGATTCTAGTTCCAATGTGGGGTCCTCCATACCTTTGCCAATGCTTGTTATCTTCCATTGTTTTCATAATAGCCATCCTAACAGGTGTGAAGTAGTATCTCATTGAGGTTATGATTTTCATTTCCCTAATGACGTTGAACATCTTTTTCTGTGCTTATTGGAGATATACATCTATGTCTATATATCTATATAGCCATATATAGATACCAGGGGTGCCCAAAAAATGTATACACATGACTTGTATTCATTTGTTATCAGTATATATTAACAATTTTAATACAGTTTTGTCCTTTCTTAAAATGTGTATACATTTTATTGGCACCCTGTGTGTGTGTGTGTGTGTGTGTATTTAACTGTCCTGTACCCACCAATGTAAAAGAAGTATGTACCACTCCATTTTGCTTTTTATCCAATCTAAAGATTTCCCTGCTTTGCTTTCCCCCACCTCCTTAATCTACCAGCAATGGATTTTATGTAACCCTCCTTACATTTTCTCCTTTGATTCTAAATGTGTAAAATGAACTGCAAAACTGCCATTCTCTGGAGCATTTTCTCAATTTGTTAGACCTTTCTTCCAGGTGTGTCCTCAGTTTTTTGGCTCAAATAAATTCATAAACTTTTTCTATGGGTTTGGACATCCTTTCTTCAACAGAATGAATAATGGTCTTATACAGCCTTGAAAATGAATGAACTTTGCATGTATCAAGATAGAATCTAGATTCATATTGAGCATATTAATCACAGAAGAACATAACAGCAGATTCTGTTTGTATAGAGATAAAAAACCTTGCAAAAGTAAACACTTATTGTTTAGGGACACATACATATGGAGTATACCCATCAAGCTAAGCAAGGGAACACTTAACACAATTTGGAAAAATGAATGGGGAGCATTGTGGACAAAGTTTCTCAAATTCTGGTCAAGTTCTCTTTTGTAAGCAGAGTGTTGGGTATGTGGGTATTCGTTTTATTATTTTTATTGATTTTTATTGGGGAATTCGAGGAAGGGAAACAGACAACTTGCTGTCTTTTTGTTCTTCAGTCTAGTTGTGGAGGACGTTGCTTCACTGGCCCAAGTTGGCACCATCCCTGCGCTCTTCCCGGGCGAGGCAGATCAGTCGCCCGCTTCTGGACGGCCGCTCACTGCGGCTGCTGGCCGCTCACGCTGGCTGCTGGCTACACACGGTAGCCCATGGCAACCCATTGCCACGGGGGCTGCAGCCTACGCTGTCGCTGGCGACTCAGGGCAGCCCAGCTCCAGGTTGAGCTGTTGTTCAGCATCTTAGCTGTAGAGGGCAGTGTCACTGGCCCTCATATGTGGGATCCGAACCAGGGCCCTCTGGCGTCCCAAGCCAGTTCTTAACAAACGCGCCACTTGGCCGGCCCTATTCGTTTTATTTTTAAACTGTACCTATGTATACATTATATTATTTGGCACACATTAAAATAATTTAAAATAATCATAAGTTGGTGCGAGCTATTTACACACTGAGCTTCTTAAAGGTGTCTAAATTCAGGTTTTGTTTCTTTCAAATCGTTTTGCCTGCCCAACAAAACAAGTCTGCCCGTTGATTTGGGTAGCCAGCACTCGGGGACCAGCTGCCTTATTCGTCACATGCACACTCCCTCGCAAGGCGACCCCCACTCACACAGTAGGCGCTAGAGCTCGCGAAGTGGGGGAAGCTCACCTCCCGGAAGTGGCCAACCCGAGGCGCCTTCTGGGAAGTGCAGTCGGGACAGGCCCTGGGCATGCCGGAAGTCGTAGTTCTTATGGGGTTGCAGGGACTGCTCCCTGCGTTTGCGGGGCTCCTGGTGAGCGTGATCCTGGCTCCACTAGGGCGGCCCGTCTGGGGCTGAGAAGCTCCCTTGCCTCTTCCGGGCGGCGGGCGGTGCCAGCGCCTATCTCCGTGTAAGTGGGGACTGTGTAGGGTCGGATGGGGCCGGGTGTGGGCACCCGGGAGATGCCGTGAGCCGCTGGGTCAGGAGGCCTGTCCGCGCGGCCTGAGCGGCCCAGCTCCGCAGGGAGGGAGCTGGGCATGCCCGGGACTGCTGTGGGTGGAGGTCTTTTGTGGCTGTTTTTTCTGAGAGTTAAGTGGAACAAATAGTAAAACAGTAGCTAATACCTATGGAGAACTCGCGTGTGCAGGCACTAGTCTAGCACCTTTGATGTATTAACTCATCTCATCCTCCGATAACACGTAGGCTGGCTCTACACTGTCCCAATTTTACAGATAAAGAAACTGAGGCTCAGAATGGCCAGGCAGTTTGCCACATTAAACCGAGACCTTGGACTCAGACCAGTACTCCCTTCCTGCCTCTGATACTTAACCATTATTGTTTCTTTGGGCAGGTCACCACGCTCCCTAGTTCTCAGTCTCACATATGTAAAATGGGGTAGCAATACTTACTTTTAAGTATTTGTGAGGATTAAAAATAATACATAAACACTCAGGAATCGTGGCGTAGAGAAGGTGTGCATCGTAGAGTGTCTGTGATTACTTACACAGCAGCTGCCTCACACTGGCTGAGGTGTGCCCGCCCAAGCTTACATGCCGAATGCAGCCTGTGGAGCTCTCACACCAGGTGCTGTACCTCCAAAGCCCCCTGCAAACTCAGGCAGCCAGTGCAGGCAGCTGGGGCCAAGTCCCTTCTCTGAAACTTGTCTGGCTGCCCCAGGCACCCCCTTACCTTGCTCTTCCAGTGGGGTTTGTGTATGAGAGGCTGAGGGCTATTTTGAGCTGTGGATGCTGTCAGAGGAGGTAGCTGTGGATTTGTGTTTAGGAGGGGCAACGGAGCAACAATCTGGCGTGCATCTTGTGTGAGAGGGAGTGTTTTAACCGTATAACCTTGGGTGAGGTATGCTAAGCCAGACACAGAGAGACAGACAGACAGACAGACACAGGGTAAGTTTTCAGGTATTTTACTCAGTTCCCTGGGGAGAAAACAACACTCCAAGCAGACCACTCAGGGCAAGCACCTGGGTCTGTCATGAGGCAGAGAGAGGGCAAATGTGGGCAAGCGCCTTTATTGTAGCTTCTTAGGGAAGGAAAGGGCCAGGCAGAGAAGCAGGCTTAGGATTGACTGGCTGTGTTTGAAAGTGGCAGCCTGGGAAGTTCATGTTCTCTGGAACTGCTACAGTGTGTAGTTTAAAGCTATCCAAGGACTCCAGATATCTGCGGGTGAGCCACAATTTGCTGATAGACCCTCAATGGATGTTAAAGCATGAATTTACAGAAATCAGAAGTATGGATAACACTGAGAGGAGAAGGAGACTGACAAATTGTCTTAGAGCTTCACTAACTTGGTGAGCACACCTTTTTACCTGGTTTGCATCATTTATGTGGAGTGGCTTTGAAGGGACCTGATGGACATTATGGGTGGTTGTAACTTCCTCTGCCTAAGCCATCCCTTGACACCACAGTTCCTCATGATGCCTTTTTCCTCTCCAAATCGACCTTGACAGCACTTTGCTCTCCCCTGGCAGGAAAACCAAGAAGGAGAGAATGGCCATGGATTTGCTGCATGCTCAGGTGACAGTAAGTGAAGTTTGTCTTTTTCATGACTTGCCTTCTGGGTTCAGAGGTGGTGGACATGTTTCCATTCTTTGTCCATGTACGTTTCCTTCCAGTGAAAACTGGAGAATCCAGAGCCTTGTAAGTTTTCCCCAGCATCCTTGGACGTATTAAGGGGCTGCTGAGGAAGGTACCCTCTCTGTCCCAAGGTCACTTTTAATTCACCCCAGTTCACTTCATGACCAAAGATTGAGTCAGCTCTGAGCATATGCTTCTGTCTACAATAAGCGTTTGGAGAGGAGTGTTGGGTACTAGGCACAGAGGATATAGTCTCACTGGGGTAGAGACATGGAAGGGCCAGAGACACATTCAACAAACATTTGTTGTACAGGACACTATGCAGGCTACTGGGGACACTAAGAGGAAAGATGCTATTTCTGTTTTCGAGGACTTCATGGTAATGACCTTAGGAAATGACTAACTGTCCAAGAAGAGGTAGCAACAGGATCCTAGGGCTGGTCCTGAAGGTCAGGAGTCACACTGGTGGGCACACAGGAGGGGTTCAGCCTGGCTCGGGCTCTGAGGCTGGCACTGGGGAAGACGGAGGGCTGGGCCTTTCCCAGAGATATGATGCTTAATGGTCCAAATGTCCTCTTCACTATCTGACTGATGATGCCTCCATCTCCTTCTCTGATTCTTTTCCTCCTGCTACTTCACACTACTCTCCTCGGCCCTTTCTTCTTTCTTTTTTTCTTTTTAAAGTTTTTTATTTTTTTTATTTTTATTGGGAAATTGGGGGATGGGAACAGACAAGTTGCTGTCCTCTTGTTCCTCAGTCTAGCTGTGGAGTACGTTGCTTCACTGGCCCAAGTTGGCACCATCATTGCGCTCTTCCCAGGCGAGGCAGATCAGTCGCCGGCTTCTGGATGGCCGCTCATGGCGGCTGTTGGCCGCTCACACTGGCTGCTGGCTACACACGGTAGCCCATGGCAACCCACTGCCAAAGGGGCTGCAGCCTATGCCGTCGCGGGTGACTCACCAGCAGCCCAGCTCCAGGTTGAGCTGTTGTTCAGCATCTTAGCTGCAGAGGGCAGTGTCACTGGCCCTCAAATGTGGGATCTGAACCGGGGCCCTCTGGCATCCCAAGCCAGCTCCCAACCAACGTGCCACTTGGCCGGCTCCTGGGCCCTTTTTTCTTACTCTTGCCACTTTAAGACCTAGTTTCATTACTTTAACCCTCACCTTTCTCAAGATCCTTCCCAAATCTCTCTTCAGGCCTAAACTTTTCCCTAAAAGCCTGTCTGTCATTCCCAAACTCGTAGTAAAAATGTCCACATGAAGTCCCATCTTTGTCCCAACACCAGCTCCCTTCAGTACATTTTCTGTTCTGCCATACCCAAAGCTTCTATTTGTCAATGGCTGCTTTTCCAAAAGCTGGTGGCCCATAGGTTAAAATGTGGACCCTGGGACTTTTTTCATGAGTTCACATCCAAGCTAGGGATGTGGCCTTGGCAAGTTGTTTTATCTCTTTGTGCCTCAGTTCCTCACTTGTAAGTGGGGTTAATAATGTACATATTTCACTGAATCCTTAAAAAAGGACTGTAAATATCTGCATTTTACAGATAAGGAAACTGAGGCACAGGGAAGCAAATAACTTGATCAGGTTACACAGCTGGCTTTTGAACCCAGACAAGACAGTCTGTAGTTAACATTAAGCTCTGATAAAATATATGTAAAGTGCTTAGAATAGTGCATGGTATGTATTAGATCTTAATAAATGCTAGCTGTCACTACTGTTAATATCAGCAGCAACATTATGTTAGGATCTGCCAAGTTTGGTTTGTCCCTTCTCACCAGGCTAGACTTGACTTTGACACTTTAATTACAAGAAGATGGGTGTATTCAGGAAGCCAAATGCAGTATGAAGCAGTACCCAGCTTTTACCTAGGCCCTCTGCCCAGAAGTAGCAGTCTTCCCTGTCTGAGCTTCCCACACCCACAAGCTGCAGCGTCTACTTGGCTTTAGCTAAGGGAAGCTGTAGACGAGTGTGTTTGCAGCTCAGAGCCAGCTTTTGTGGACTGCTAATTCAGTGTCTGACTCTTGATTATTAAGTCTCTTGGGGATCTGACCCAGGCATGGATCTTATTATCCCATTTGAGCGAGTTAAATGGTAATGTCTAATCTTAACTACTTTCCTCATTTAGGATACTGAGAGGCAAGTTTCTTTCTGCTGTCTGTTAGAAAAATAAAACAGCAAACAATCATAATTTTTGGAAAAAGTAGGATCTTTGCAGGTTTTACAGATATTCCTTATTCTATTCTGTTTCCATGTACGATTGTATATAATTTATCTTTTGGGAAAAAGACACATGGAACTTGGTGTTGATTGCTTAATAATCAGTGTGTTTATTACATTTTTTTGGGGCAGTAAATCCTTACTTGTTTTTAGTATTGTCAGTATTTTAAAAAATAAATAGTTGTATTTTTTTTAGAACAGTTTTAGATTTAGAGAAAAATTGCGAAGATAATACCATAGTTACCATATACCCTGCATCTAGTTTCTCCTATTATTAACATCTCACATTAGTCTGGTGCATTTGTTACAATTAATTAACTAAATTGAGACATTATTATTAACTGAAGTCCATACTTTATTCGAGTTTCCTTAGTTTTTATCCAAAGTCCTTTTTCCGTGTCAGGATCTCATCCAGGATCCACATTATGTTTAGTCCTGTGTCTCCTTAGGCTGCTCTTGGCTGTGACCAAAGGGCTCAGACCTGCCTTGTTTTGATAACCTTGACAGTATTGAGGTCTGCTCTTCAGTAATTTTGTAGAATGTCCCTCAGTTGGGACTTGTTCGATGATGTTCTCGTGATTAGACTGAGCATATGGGTTTAGGGGAGAAAGACCACAGAGGTGGGGTGCCGTTCTCATCACAGTGTATCCAGGGTATGTACTGTCCCCATGAATGGTCACCGCGCTGAGATGATGTTTGTCAGGCTTCTCCGCTCTGTCCACTCAGTATCTTTGGGAGGAGGTCACTAGGCAACGGGGGGATAGGCTCCCTCCTTGGGGCGGAGTTAATACAGACTTACTCAGAATTACTCTGCATCGGTGATTTGTCTCCATTAATTTACTCAGTTGTGTTTACTTATATCAGTATGGCCTCGTGGACATTTATTTTATACTTTGTATTGTAATACAGTACACTTTGTTTATTTTCTTGCTCACATTGTTCCAGCTTTGGCCAGTGGGAGCTCATTCAGTTGGCTACTGTGTCCTTAGCCATACCCCCATTACCATGGGCGTTGGCTTTTGGTTTGTTTTGCCTTTTCAGCACTTCCTTACTTTCCTGTGCTATAAGATGCCCCAGGCTCTTGTTTGTATTTCCTGTCCCATTGCTGGGATCAGCCATCTCTCCAAGGACCCTGGTTTATATTTATTGGAGAATGATGTTAGAAATCTGGGCATTGGCTATGCTTGTTACTATTGAGGTTTTGTCGCTTCCGGGCCCTCTCAGCTGACAGAGCAAGGAAATATATGTGTGTAAACTGACCCCTGTGCATACACATATGTATAAGTATTTCTAGATGTAGCCATCTGTATCTATATTAAGCTAAGAATGAGTTCATACTAATGCCTCCAACTCTAATCCATTACCACATGGGTCATTTCAGCCGCCTCCTCTTGCTTACCTGTCAACTCCCCCTCTCACAGTGAGACACCTGGCCCCCACCGTCTGCCATCCACTGACTTTAACCATCCAATTTGCATACACATGTACAGTGGTACCTGAATTGTTAACTCACATCTACATGGGAAACTGCTTTATCCGCCAGAGCACATGCTTATGTGCAGTTCCTTTTGTCATTTGTCTTACAGACTCCACCCATTTCCAGCTACTAAAATTAGCTTCTTTTCCACCACCTCCTTCATTAGGTGTGTCACACATTTATATTATATTTAGATTGTTTTGTCACATTCTGCATTCTATTTGGGATCCCACAACATCCTAAATGGTTTTTCTAAAAGTTTGCTTACATAAGTTTCACTCTTTATGTTATAAATTTCTATGGGTCTTGAAAAATGCAGTATCATACAGGATAGTTTCGCCAACCTAAAAATTCCCCTTTGCTTCACCTATTCAACCATTTTCCCCTGCCCTGCTCCCAACCCCTGACAACCACAGATCTTTCTACTGTCTCGATATATCAATTATGCTTCTTTAAAAAACAATCAATGGTTGCCCTGCAGTTTGCAATATAAATGTACAACTAATCTAAGTCCACTTTTTTTTTTAAATTGGGGAATTGGGGGATGGGAACAGTGCTGGGGAATTGGGGGAAGGGGAGCAGACAAGTCGCTGTCGTTTTGTTCTTCAGTCTAGTTGTGGAGGACGTTGCTTCACTGGCCCAAGTTGGCACCATCATTGCGCTCTTTCCAGGCGAGGCA